CTTCCACTAAGGCCCACTAAGGCCCATATACCTCCCGGGGGGTTCCGGTAACCTCCCGGTACTCCGGTAAAATCCCGATTTCACTCGGAACACTTCCGATATCCAAACATAGGCTTCCAATATATCAATCTTTATGTCTCGACCATTTCGAGACTCCTCGTCATGTCCGTGATCACATCCGGGACTCCAAACAACCTTCGGTACATCAAAATGCATAAACTCATAATATAACTGTCATCGTAACCTTAAGCGTGCGGACCCTACGGGTTCGAGAACAATGTAGACATGACCGAGACACGTCCGGTCAATAACCAATAGCGGAACCTGGATGCTCATATTGGCTCCTACATATTCTACGAAGATCTTTTATCGGTCAGACCGCATAACAACATACGTTGTTCCCTTTGTCATCGGTATGTTACTTGCCCGAGATTCGATTGTCGGTATCCTATACCTAGTTCAATCTCGTTACCGGCAAGTCTCTTTACTCGTTCTGTAATACATCATCCCGCAACTAACTCATTAGTTGCAATGCTTGCAAGGCTTAAGTGATGTGCATTACCGAGAGGGCCCAGAGATACCTCTCCGACAATCGTAGTGACAAATCCTAATCTCGAAATACGCCAACCCAACATGTACCTTTGGAGACACCTGTAGAGCTCCTTTATAATCACCCAGTTAGGTTGTGACGTTTGGTAGCACACGAAGTGTTCCTCTGGCAAACGGGAGTTGCATAATCTCGTAGTCATAGGAACATGTATAAGTCATGAAGAAAGCAATAGCAACATACTAAACGATCGGGTGCTAAGCTAATGGAATGGGTCATGTCAATCAGATCATTCAACTAATAATGTGATCCCGTTAATCAAATAACAACTCTTTGTCCATGGTTAGGAAACATAACCATCTTTGATTAACGAGCTAGTCAAGTAGAGGCATACTAGTGACACTCTGTTTGTCTATGTATTCACACATGTATTATGTTTCCGGTTAATACAATTCTAGCATGAATAACAAACTTTTATCATGATATAAGGAAATAAATAATAACTTTATTATTGCCTCTAGGGCATATTTCCTTCAACTTCCTCTCCACATAGGTGCCATCACGTAATGCGTCCAGCAAGAAAAGTGGCTTTCGTCTACGCGGCCACAGGCAGGAGGTTCCTTGGATGCCCTCTCTCGGTGAGCATTTAGTATCTGATTCAATTATCTAATTTTTTGCATTTCAGTTTGCAGACATTCAAATTTCTTCTATATCATCCCAATTTTATCTGCATGCAGGGACCTGATAGGTGCTCCTTGTTCATGTGGATAGATGAAGCATGGGGTCCTGTACTTAGCCGTTCATTAATACAACTCTGGGATCAGGCTTTCCTGGACTCTGGAAGAGCAGCAAGGTTGCAGACAAAGAAAAAGGAAATGGAGCAAGCATACTTAGAGTTGTGGACTGAGAGGAGCAATATGGAGATTGAAAATCAGCAGGTGGTCAACAAGTTGAAGACCACAATACTCGACACTGAGATTAAGATGTCAAGGAGGTTGGAATTTCACACTAAGATGTGTGTGGCATTTATTTCTTCAGCTGTTACCCTTGCTTCAGTGCTCGCTTATGTGCTGTCTGCACACTAGTGTAGTTTGTTGGTGATCATGTATGTGCTGAATTAGGATGTTTCGCCACATTGTATGACCATTAAGTTACACCAGTATGTTTTATTCTGTATGTGCCAACTAAGTTCTAGTTTGCAGAGCCCGAATTAAGTTGTTATTTATCCCTAAATATTTTATTATTACCTCCCTTGGCAAGATCACATGTTCGGTTTTGTTTCTATTGGCCGCGTGCAAGAATTGTTTTCCATTGAAAGTGTTGCATATTAGAGCTGCAAAAGTACTCTTGCGAAAAAGCAAGAAGTTTGTTAAGTTCTTCAGATGATACATATAAAGTTCCATAGGCATTTCTTCAATTTTTACGCTGTGATAAGTATACAGTTTGTTGCTTCCTGTCATCAGTACCCATTTTCAAACAAATCACTAGAGTTATCCTTTTTTTTAATATTTTGACTACGATGGTGCTTATGCAATGCATATTTTTCTGTTTAATCGAGGATGTTTTCCGAAGTCGCATATGTACTGAGGGGGAAACGGCTCATTCTCTTTCCCAACCAGGTTAGCTGAAGACCACTGCCAACATATAGTGTACTGTTTCCAATTATGAAGTTTGGTCGCATTATACTTATGCTTCATTTGGATCATGCAAATATCCGTGGCAAAACAAAGGATTCGACCTCAGGGCCATATTCACTGTAAACCTCATGATTAAGACGGTACTCCTCTCTTCCCTTTATAAAACCATCAATCAAACGCATTCCCAGTACTTTAACAATGTTGTATCAACATATTCAAGTTAGTTCCCTATTTCCCAGAAAAAGTGATTAATCAGATCGTGAACTTATTCCATTCGTCCTAATGACCAGGGGCGGTGCAAGCTATTTGGCATGGTTTGGCTGCTGCAACACCTACAATTTTCTGTAAAAATACCTAGTACACTGCTTCCAAATTTACAAATTTAAAATCGCTTAGGTTCACTTCCTGTTTGGCTTTGTTGGTGGATTTGATGAGTTTTTACGTAGGGTCAGTGATCTCATGACTGTAGGGCTCTACACCGACTAGTCAGCTTGATAAACTGGTCGGAGACTTGCAAGTTGTTGCTTTACTCCACAGACGAGCAAAAACATAAATATACTATCCGGACCGCTATGTCACTATTGCCAAAATACTAGAAAGCCGAAACCCTCGTGAAGTTTTGATCATTCATGGAGGCGGCAAGGCACGCAGTAGAAGACATTGAACTGATAGCGGCTACCGTTGGTGATCAGTCTGGGCCAGACAGTGAGGACTCTAGGGTCCAAGGACAACTAGGCTAGTGTGTCACACTGATAATTATATATGGGTTCCACCTTTATAGACTCCGCCATATCTACAATTTATTTCTACCTTCTGAATTGCTAATCACCCCTGCTGTTATGTGGTATTTTGAATGATGCCACATTGGTCCGTATGCGAAACAATTAACTGAGAACAACTTGCAAATTTAATAAATTAACATGTTCACCAAGTGAAAGCAAATTAATTCTGATCACATCATAGTTTTAAAGACCGAATAGTTTGGGAAGTTCTATGAATTCTCTTTCGAGGCTAAACAAACATTCAATTCAAGTAGTCCATCCACTCCCGGCAAAATAACTTGTTCATATTGTCCTTCTTGCGAACAAGTCAATCCTTGATCTTGTCATTCTTGCTAATAAGGCAATCCTTGTACCTCGCAGGCAGATGACCAATGTTACCTTCAGAACCAAGCAAGTCCACAAGCATGTTCATCCTAGCATGCATGACACCGTCACCCTGGGTTTGTTAAAAAATTAGTTATAGGTCGCAAATCAACATGCTAACCCACTTGTTCTGCAAGCATCTTCATTGTTGGAAATTCCTTACTGGGTTCATGTCCCTTTTCAGTTTAGTTCCCATCCAATTCCTTCCAAAGTGAGTAGCATATATGCCCGTGTCTTGCCTGATAATCATGTCAAATTCAGAATGTCAGTAACTATGCTTATGAATAGACACGATTACATAAAGTAAGCATTATTCACATAACAAATCATTACTTTCTGCATATCCCTGTTGCCAGGCCCCTTGGGAAGCATGTATTCCACGACCTCATGTCTGGCTCCCATCCAGAGAAGAATGACTTTATGCATATCTCTATAGCCTTGTGAAGCTCGTCTGCAACCTTCCTGTGCCTGAGCTGAATTACCTTATCAGACTCGTCACCATTGTTCATTGTTGGGTCGAGGACAAAAATCTTCGCCCTTGGACAGTCCCATATGTATGTAGACCATTTGAAGTCGAACTTAACTGGCAACACAACCTGTTAATTGGAAAAAAGGCACTGGAGTTTATTAAATAAACATTATTTATCAAATCTTTTAAATCACTTTTGTCTTTTTAAAAGGTCACCTCGGTGCACTTGTGAACCTCGTAAGTGATATGCGGCCCCACGAACATGTCCTTGATGTACCTCAGCTTTGAAATGTTGTCTCCTCTGCTAACATGGTTCTGCATGTTTCGAATTTATGAGTAACACTTAGCTGAAGCATGGAATTTTTTGTATTGATCAATGATTTCAACTGAAGTTCCTCACCACAAAATCTGGCTCCAGCCAATGTCGCCAACATCCTTCCCCTTTTGCAGCAGCAAAGACCGCATCCATCTGTTGGTACCTTCTCATCACCAATGTCATCAGCACACTATCCACCTCACCACCATCGCGTAGCATCTCACGGAGCCGCTCCTCACTGATGTCCATGTATTTTGGGTTGGTGCTGATAATCCACATGCTGCATAGTTGAAATAGAACATATTGCGGTCAAGAAACTAGGCTTTACCAATGGTAAGGATGAAAAACAAACTCGAATTATGGTTTTTTCCTGCTGAGAGCTTACTCTTTTAGCTTGTTCGCGTTCTCCCTATAGAATAGCTTGTATATCTGCACTACATTCGCTGGAGCTCTAGTAGGAGGGTCATAACCCATTACAAAGGGAGACCTTGCATATTTCCCAGGCCTCACCACCCTCTTTGGCTGAGGCTGTGTGCTAAATGATCCCTGTGACATAGTGACGTTGAGGTTGATAGCCGCCTCCTCTATCTCCTCCCTAATGTCAAGCTCGACAGCAGACATCTGGCGGTTGAGGCTAACTGGAGAAGTCCTTGAAGATGTACCTGCAAATACTTGGTTTGGTGCTGGAGTGGCAACAATCTGCATTCCTGAATCTGCATGGCGAACACGGCAAGGTTAGCACGCAGGTCATGACCTAACTGTATTAGCTGTATCTATTAACATTTAACCCCAGCTGGTAAAAGAATCACGGTTACCTTCAGGAGTTTGCATCTTGGTTGCTGCAGAACCAGGCGTGATGTTTGCGGAAGCAACCGACACGTCTGAAACAAGTTAGTAAATAATGAATTAGCTTCCCTGATTCATTATTTTTTCAGTCACAAAGGATGATCCATCATACTCATTTTAAACCATACCGTTGGACGTTGAAACGGCTGTAAAAGCATTCATCAAGTCCGTCTTCCTAAGACCTGACATTACAACTTTGAACTTCCCATGCATCTCTGGAGGATCTATTGATAAACATCCACCTAAGTCCTCATCCTGTCCTGAAGGAACTATTGACAATCGATTATTTTCAACACCATCCTTTTGGTTCTCTGCAGCTTCATCAGTTCCTGTTGCTATTTTTGGAGAGCATATAACTTCATTTCTTGCCGCCCCACACACCACTGACATCTCCAAGTTGTTCCCTGTAGTATTGTCCAACAACCCTGTCGCATTGCCAACAATCCCACTATGCAACCTACTGTATTCATCTGCTGCTTCAATCAGATCATCTATTGCTTTGTTTGCTTCTTCTTGAGCACCTTCAGATTCTTCAGAGCTCTCTATCCTTGCCCTCTTCGGTGTGTGCCTCCTTGATGTAACAACCTTCTTTCTTTTCACACCTAATTTGCTCTTTGCCAATGGTTCCACGTTAGCGGAAGCTCCCTCTGCCGACTCTATGCTTAGTGCATTCTCTGCATCCCCTTGAACCCCTTGAACATCTGAGAAATTACACAACAAACGGGTTAGACAGTTGACAGTTTTTATTCTAAGAACAAACATAATTCTATTTCTTGCGAATTACAATACCTGCTTGGGTTGAATAATTGGGCCTCTGCTTTCGTGCCCTCATTGCATCAGTTATCTGGTTGATGTCTGCAATTATCTTCTCAGTTTCTGAGAGTATTAACCCGTTAGTATCATTGACAATATCATCCCATCCTTCTGCGTGTCCCTTGTTTAATCTTGCTCCCTTCCTTGATGCCTCATTTACAGCTCTCTTGCACTTGTTGGAGTACTGCTCGACCTTGTTGATAATAATACCTGCAAACTGAATTTTATCGAAGTTTTCCCAATAAATGATGTCAGTTTATGTTCCATATATTACTTATTCATCAATATATTTGACCTATATCAAAACTTACATCTGTGAACACTTTATCACCCCCAATTCCCTCTGTGCTGCACCCAATCCCGTATCCATCCGTTGTTTTTTGAGCTGCTGTTGCCATGGTATTACGGCTGTAGCATATTGTCCCCGGATGCCTTGGCTGTAAATATTTATCCAGAAAGGTTTCATCATTGCAAAGCAATAGGCAAAGGTGACTTATCTATATAAACATACCAGACAGAGTAAAAGCAAATGGGAACCATGCTAGTACGAATATGACATAAGCATCAAGTCATCTCATAGTTAGATATGCTAGCAACGCAGCCATTTGTAACAGCTCAATCAATAGGTATACCACACATGTCCTACTAACTGAAAAACAATATCCTTTCCATCACAAGATTATTTTACTGTACTTGTTTTGTATCTTAACTTACCAGTAGGTCTCCATACACTACAATCTCTGCATCTTTCCCAGTTGTTATGTCTTCATCAATAACATCAGAGATAGTCTTCTGTGAGTATTCCTTGCACCTAGGGAACACATCGTGGGGAAGGTTCTTATCTTCTCGTTCGAGGTTGTCAAGATAGAAAACCTGTGACATGAAACAAATTTGTGATTAGTTGTTTCGTCACAAGTTGAATCCGAAGCAATGACATTCACTCAAACCTGCAAGAAGAATGTGCATCCAGTGAGATTTGACTTCAGTTTCCCACCTAGCAGTTCAGACTTCACCCTACCAGCAGAAGAAAGGAGCTCTTCTCTAATGTACCGTCCCCAATTGAACATTTGAATCATATCAGGTATGTGCAAGGCATTCCAATAATCTGTCATGAAATAGTTGTGCTTCAGCGGAGGTGCCAGGAGGAAAGTCATCGCGCAAATTGCGAAGGCAACCTTGAACTTGTCTGCTTCAGCCTTTGTCATAGCTCTGCCATACCGAATCTTCACTATGTTAACTATGGGTGTGATCTTTTTTTCTCCATTGCCGATTCCTAAGATCTCACGTACAGTACCTGCCACGTGCGGCAGTGCATTCTTGTTAACAGGAGATCCTACTGATGGCACCCCCAGTACCTTGCCGACGTCTCCGTCGTCGAAAGGTAAGTCTCTCCCAGCATCAATTATGATAGCAGATGCCTTCTCGTCAACTTTGCTCATAAGCCACATGGATTGTTGCCTGTTTGCCTTTATTATTGCTGGTAATTCCAATAGTCCTTCGAACCCCATCTCACCTACCAGAGCCTTTTTTTCTTTAGATAGCCCATCAATCAAGGCCTTCATCTTTTTTATGCTGCTCCTTGAATTTATTGGGTTTTGTGATGCCTTCTTCTTGCCCTTTCTAGCGCCATCTGACTCTAACTCTTCTGGTGTACCGATGTGTTGTGTAGGATACACATCGAACCCTTCTGATGATTCCTCATCGGATTGCTTGTAATCAGATGAGGACGAACCAGACACCATTTTCTGCGATGTATTTAGAAACAAAGTCAGGCGACATATATAATATATATCACGATTAAAAAAAGATGGTCATCATTGTTGTATGAACCTAGAAATAATTATCAGTTTGTCAATCTCTACAGACATCATAATATTTCCCCCAATTGTACACTCACAACAATACAATCAACATAGTAAGAATGATTTTCTAATCTAAACCATTACCAATCCTTCTAAGTTATCCTTACAGCCGACGGACCTCTAAAAAAATCTTTAATCCCACTGTGTATAAATACTGAATATACAAGCCATACTATAGAATGCAGATCGACACAAAATTAAGTCCACGGATATTGTATTCTGTTAACATGTCCTCTCTTGTTAAGCAGTCATTCTCATGTTTTTCACATTTCTTCCAGACAAAATAGCTTTTTTTATGTTAAGTTCCAGCTAAGAATTCATTTGTGTGCAGATATAAAAAATGGACACTAAAGCTCCCTATTTTTAGATCATTTTCCAAAAGCTTACTACTGATATGTTGACCCCCACCATGCATATTTTCTTTATATATGTATCGTTTTACTGTTTGCTGATGCAAACCATTAACACTTATGAATTGCAACACTTTTCTACCGCTATTATTATCACAGAATCTAATGGGAGTTCTCTTCAACATCAGGTATATAAAATCCATGACATGCATCAGGTATCTCAGGTTAGAGTTAAAAAAACTCCATGCCGTGCATCAGGTATTCACAACTTCCATAAAGATGTATCAAGTATCTCTAATCTTACCCTAAATATCCCATCCCAAACAATTGCAAACAATCAAGAACAAGAAAAACTACTTGCGTTTGGAAATGCCACAGAAACCAAACTACTAAAATGATAAATATGTTGTTAAAGATCCAATCATCAGGGAGGAAATCAACAAACACTGCCCAACTCGAACAACAAACATGTGGTACCTTTTTTCCAGTAGAACCACTGAGGAGCTCCTAGTTCTTCATCTTTTTGGGGAAGGAGCTCCTAGTCCTTCATCCTTGTTCTGAAGGAGCTCCTAGTTCTTCATCCAGGGTGGGAAGGAGATCCTAGTTCTTCAGCCTTGGGGAGAATGAGAGAGGAGCACCAAATGCGAATGAATGATGACAATGGACTCTACCCTCTCACAGCTCTTCCCTTCAACAAGTGTTAGGTTCTAGGTGTCTAGACAAGTGTTTGGAATCTTTTTGTACATGACACACAGCTACCCGCCCTTGGCTTCCAAAAAGCCCTTGAAATCTGAGCCATAGTAGATTCAGTTACAAATGACTATTTCACCCTCCTGCAGAAAGCATGCTGCATTTTATTAATAGTTTATGAAGCAATTGTACTCAATCTGCTGAGCTCAAAACATTGGGTTATTATCTTTTTTTCCAATTGTATTAATTATCTGATCCACTAAATGACATATGAAACATGGATCCATTAAGGTTCATATTTTGGTATACTTGTACAGTATTAAACCACCTTGTTTCTAATGGTCAAATACAGCCAGAATGAAATGTACAGTTGTTTGGTGTTTAGATAGAACATCCAAACAAGACTGTATACTACAACGGTTGGCACACACAAACGAAAGGTTCTGTGTTGATGGCATTCAGGTACATTAATTGTTGAATATTAAGTGCATATGTAAAAGGCATACTCCTTGGTTCACTGCCAGCTTCCCCGAACTTCTTTGATCTTATTAGGTTCTTCGGCACATGAATATTAAGTTCATTGGTACAAAAAAATTGCACCTTCATGAAATGTGTTCCTTTTGCGTCATCCATAGATCCCTAGGGCGTGGCTACACTTGTGCAAAATGAAAACATGCATGACAGGTACAAAAATAACTTGGTGGGTGACCAGGAAATTTAGAATGCAGGGAATACAAATTCTTGATAGGTCAACACCATCCACTTAACTAAAAGCCCGACATTTAAATCTACTGCTTACTTGACACTACTAGCATTGAAGCACTTCTTAAGAAGACGGATGATGCCGGTCCTAAGACTCACACTAATGATAAGGTTGCAAATATAACTAAAGGAAGGTACTTTCCTGGTTTGATAACCCATTTGTTCCCACTTAATCCGAACCAATATTCATTTCCCAACCCAAGCAGCCTCGATTGTGATCATGGCTGCCACTGGCGCGGTGGACGCGAGTGCAAGTTGTAGCACCTTGTTCATCGTCCTGAGGTTCCTGATCTCCCTGTTCCTATCAGCCATTTCCTTGATGAACTCGTCTCGGTCTTCTGTCACCTCCCGCGGCTTCACTCGTTCAGCTTGGATTCTCTTCTACACGTATTCCTCCAGTACATCCTCCCACACGTAGACCTCGCACGCTCTCCTCTGAACCTGTACATAAAAATCAAGAAACAAGAGCAAAAGAATCTTTAGCCAGTGCAGGTACTGAACGGAATCTGCTACATTTTGTCTTATCTATATATTCTTACCCCATAGTTCACGCAGCTGAAGTAGAACTTGTCCAGCCTCGCCACCGCAGATCCAGCTTTCCTGGCGCATGGCATGCCGCATGCACATCGAAGTATCGGATTTCCAGTCGACATGTTCTTGCAGAAGAAGTGTTGTGCTGATTCATGTTCCATTCCACTTGTATGTATAGACCTTGAATTTATTGTATGCAGCTGTCTACAACCAACCATAGTACGCATGCTTTTGGCGCTACTGAAGGGGGCAGTGTCCGGGTCGTGCTCATACGGCGCGCCGGTCGAACAGTAAAGTTGTGAGGTCAAATCGACCTTATCTCTACTGCATCGTTGTTTGAGAGGAGTGCATGGTCGACTGGTCATTTTGACTCACCCGTGAGCTGTGCAACACTCTGGATAGTAGGGCATGGGCGACATGGCGTTGTACCACTCCTCTCTAACTGATGCATGTTTTCTATTATTTTAATACGCCCACTTTCCCTCCTCATCTACTCCACGGCATACACTCCCTCTTCACATGAATTGGTTAATCAACAATTCTCCATTGGGAGAGCCTTAAACTCGTCATCGGTATCTCAGAGTCAGTTTGCCCCATTTTCATATCAACACTGGGAAAAAAACTATTTTCCTTAACCGTGTATCCCACTGAGAAACAAGTCAAAAAAACTGCATTATCATTCAGATAACGCCTCCCTTGGATCCCTCCTGCCCAGCTCCCACCTACATGTCAAATCAACTTAAACTGCTGCCCTGCTTGAACTCTCTATACGCTAGTACCTCAAAGCTGTATATAACTCAACCATCCCTACCTCGTTCTCCTACACACCAACGTCATGGATCACAATGCCGACGAGACGGATGCTCTGTTCACTGGCGAAGCCATGATGGTTTCCCCCGCACGCTCAACTGCCACTACCGTCATCCCCGTGAGTATTGCCACCGGCCTTTGCTTTCAAACTGGCATTGCAGAAATCATTGATATTTTGTTAAACCATATTAAATGTACAGGCTCATCCATCCACTCTCAGGCCTATAACAATTAAGCAGTTGTATGATGGATTCCTGGAGGACATAGAGCGTTACCCTATCGTAGTTGACGGAGACACTGTGTCATCAGTGAGTCTATATATAAAATCATTTAGATTTTCAAAACCATCCACTAGCTGTTCTTAATATATTTCTTCATTTGATAGGTGATCCTGATAGGAACTGTTTCACACTCTACTGTTCGAATGAATCACTGGTCCTTCGATCTACAGGATGCCACAGGGTTAATCAACATATCTTTCTGGTACTAATTTCATCGTCAGTAAACTCCTTGTATCCAAAGAACTTCAGAAACAATGCATTTAACCTTTTTCTCCATTTTTTGTTCTTCTGTCAGGTCGGAAACAACTTCCGACTTTAAACTTGCTTGGTCATCAAGGTCTGATTTATGTATTAAGATAAAAATAATAATTTGCAGTCCTAGTTTTGGTCAACAAGCCCACTGTTTCAATCGTTACATCTTATTTGCAGCAATGGCAACTATGTTCAACTATTTGGCAAACCTGCCATGAATGACAGATTCCTTCAGATTAAAGCTTTCAAGATCAGGTTATTTTAAACCGCATCTTTTTTCCGTGTCATAAAATTTTCACATATAACATTCTTTTTTACACCTAGCCATACATTTTAAAAATATTGCAGGTTAATCGAAAACTACAATGACACCACGCACCACTACTTGTATACCATACACACCACATTAGACATTCGTAAAAGAAACACCCACAAGGTAATTCTTCGTGTTTTTTGTAAAATGTACCTAAATGATACATACATTCTTTCTCACATACATTACCTCTCATAGGCAAGAATGGAACCTGACTCCACAGCATCAACTGGTTTTCCCAAAGGGGCCGTCAATTACCCCGTCAGAGGTGCCCTTGCATTCGTCAACAAAGGACAAGATATTTGCCATCCTGCGAGACCCAGCTTACCGGTAAGTACTGTATGGCTAGTACATAAAGTTCTTTGATTATTACGAAAGCTAAATGCAATATCCTGAACTAAGTTCCTTTGACCATTAAACATGTATATCCACAAATCTCACAAATAACATATAGGTCCCCGTGCCATGCACGACCAACAGTTAAAACATAAAGTTCCATGATCCATCCAAAGGATAACTCCATTTTTTTCTCACATTTGCCCTAACACAGCGATATTCAGCATGGCGTTAGCTTGAAGTTAATCCGTAGTGCACTGGACATCAGCCAGGACGAGATAATGTAAGACATCACATCATTAAATTCATTTAGCCCATCCTTATTCAACTTATAGTTGACACATTTTCCGATTACAACTTGGCATAATTAACCAGGCAAGTCATTACGGAGCAAATCTACATTGGGATGATATACACAACTGTTGATGACAACCACTTCAAGTCCTCCATCTGAATTGGTCGATTATCCCTGTGTTAATTATTAGAGCTAAATAATGTACTTGAGTGTCAGACATTTATGGTTAAGCCATTCTGTGGATTTTCAGTTAGACCTATCATGATTGTAATATTTATTTCATCACTTTAGCAATTCTCTCAGTTATTTTATTATGTGGTTTCCCTTTCCCAATTCTCTCGGTTATTTTATTATATGTGGTGTCCCACATCAACACTTTATTATCTGTGTGCCATATCAACACCTTTTTCCTGGCGCACCTGCTGGATAGGTGCCAGTGTGCCACCCTTACACCCCATACCACCCTTCTTCCCCAAACTAACATCTGTTGTTCTCTATCCACCATGGACATTGACCAGATAGATTTTTCATCTCGCTTAGATAACAATATTTTGAGTGAGATTTTCATCAGGCTAGGATGCACTAGATCCCTTGTTCGTAGTTCTGTAGTGAGTCCTAGATGGTTTGAGATCTGTACCTCCCAGCAGTTCATCATGGAGTATGCTCGCCGCAATGCTCCAGCCGTCCTCGGATTCATTGCTGCATTCGAGCGCCTCTTCGAGCTGCACGTACGTCTTGTGGATGTCGTTGCTTCCCCTCCTGATCCAGGACAAGCTGCTCTGCTTGCTAGGGTCGATGTGGCAACCTTTGCCATGGAGAACATCCTTGCATCTAAAGCATGTGAGTTGCTCGTCTTGGTCAGAGGTCTTGACGGCGGGTTCTTCTCTGTCTGTCCAAATCCTCCATTTTCTCGGTCATTCTTAGCCCCTAGAATGCCTAGAGTCCCCCTGTTCCAACATCAGCACACCCCTAATTTATATGGTCAATTTGGTGTCATTCTCATTGACAGCAGGCCTAATTTTTTGTTCTTCGTTAAGCAAGCAGCAGGCCCTTTCGTCCATTCTTATTCTGGTTTGAGTTTCAGTTCAGTTGCTGACCTATATGTCCATGTTTGCATCCTAAAAAACAACGAATGGTCACGCTTTGTTTCCCCACCGCTTTGAACTCCTCCTGGTAATGATGGACCATTGTTCCATTGGGATCCATACTGTCTCCTAGTTGGTTCCAATCTATACATGATGTATGTGGTAGGATTTGTGGTTTGCTTCAACATAGATACTTTTTTCTTCTCCACTGTCCAGTTCCCTGTAAGTGTCACTTCCTGCTTTGATTACCACATCTCTAGGAGCAGTTCAGGTATCATATTATTTGTTCACAGTGACAATCTATCACTTCGCACATGGAGATTATCATCACGAGAGCATGAAGAAACAACATGGTTTCCTATGTCAGAGATAAACCTTGCATCATCCTTTGGAAGCCGCTGTCAGCATCCCATGTGGCGTCAATTATTCCTTGGAGTTGATTTAGACGATGGCATTCATTCTATGCAAATCAGGTCATCTAGCATAGATTCGTCCTTTGTCTTCCCGAAATTCAGCTTTCATCATGCAATTTTCATTTTGGAGAACTCAAGCAACAACGTACATGAGGTGCAGTACCTTGATGAAGATGGCGCTCTAAGGTCTATTGTTTCTCTTACAGAACATTGGTCACCAGTGGTTAATATGCCTAATCATGATGCACCATAGAGATAAACATGGCAATGGGCGTGACACCTGTGTATCTTCCTATTCAAATTTATCTTTCAGTACTGTCCAATGTAGTATCTTATTATGTTCCTGGTTTGTAATCTCCGAATACTATTCGACTTAGTAATCCCTATGTATTTTTAGTCTTTGCTTTCCTATACATAATCCATTTAGCGAGAAGAATCATTTTCAAGCTCATTTTGTTGCACCACGTATTTAAATGTATTGAGCATTTGTTCCGAACTTTGAATAGGAAAAAACTGACTATTATGTTGATCCACTTATGATATTTATTTCTGTTGAAATATTTTCGGTGTGAAGATATAACGATATAGAACAGAAAGACTTGTGGAGTATGCCAGTCCAATGTTTTTTTGGAGCTTGACATAATATATCAGTTGCTCAAGTCCCGAACTACTTTTTGAATTTATTTCTGATTCCGCTAAACATTTAAACACTAAATTTTAAGGGCCTAGCAATGCGGTACAGTTATCCCACATAAACCGTTCAAGCCAATTCAGCGATATATAAATTAAGTGTGCCACGCATTTTATCAAAGCACTTGGATTCTTTGTGAATGATTGTGAAGTTCATTAGTTTCGACCTCTCAGGGGCGGAACACGCATGGATAAGTTTTTCTATCCTAAGCGATGAAGTGTGGTACACTTTTTAACAAAGTACTCACATAGTTATGGATGATCTTAAAGTCCTTTCCATTCGTCCTATGAAGTGCGCAACGTGCA